CTGCCCAAGACCGGCTTTCTGGTTAGCAGCCGCTGCACCGCACCCTCCTCTACCTCGGTTGTGACCGTGTAGAAGTACCAGACAATGAGGAGTCATCGTCGTCTTCCTCCTCCGTGAATGTGGCCACCCGGCCCCTCGGGGTGGCGAACACGAATGGCACCTTGTCATCCTGTTCACCCATCTCCACCACGTCGAGGTCCTGATCCTCCGCCTCCTCCGGCGGGCCGAACTTCACCCGGAAATGATCCCCACGATGTCGGCGGCTTAGCCGAGGGATCATCCGGCATGATATGATCAAGGGGTAGTACCTATAGAGGGCGGAGCCTGTGAGAGAGATATAACCTATATTTCATAAAAAGCTTCAGTATGATTTTGACGAATGAATATCAATATTTAGTACATCAACAGCTCCAACACACTTTTAGACTTTCAGACATCTCAGCCTCTTTTGTCCAGGTCAAACCAATTGATCTGATCATACCCCATTGTATGAAATCAAAGGCATACTTTTTGGATGTCAGCCGGTAAGCCGATCGTTCAAGTTGATCGATGGCGACGCCAAAAAAGTGGCAGAAAATCAACAAGAAGCCAGACAGGAGTGGCTGCAGAGATATTGATCATAAACCTTCTGACAGCTGAAATATGACAGCCCCGCTCTCTCAGACTCCCACTCCAACTTATTCTTTCCATCCCAACTAATCCTTGCACATTATATTCTATATACAATACCATTAGAGTATTATTGTTACTGGCAGGGGCCAAAGCCTTAAGCACAACTTAACAGCAACCCATAGAGTTTATAATGATGCCATTTAGCATTAAGTGCACACCATCTTTTAACTAACAGAGCATGGAGAGTGTCTTTTTTTTTTTTATATCGGTAAACATGTTAGATCAAGGTCTATATTTAGCTTTACTTTATATACAGGCAGGGGTTTTCAAATTGTGGGTAGGTGAGCCTCCCCTCAGAGAACATAAGAACAGCCGCGCCCCCCCTCCCAATTATTATTGCTGTTATTATTATTATTATTATTATTATTGTTCTTGTTGCTATAATGCAGGGGTATTCAATTGCATTTCAAAGAGGTCCAGTAAGAGAAAATGTAATTAAATGCTCTGTTTTCGCTGTCTACCTTCCGCCATTTGAAATTACTCCGACTGTTTCTCTCCTCTTGTCGTGTCTCTGTGTGTGTTTGAATCTATCGTGCTGAATGTACCGATTTGATTGGCTGAGTAGCGTCACCTCCTTAAAACATTAAACAATAACTTTTTTAAACCTTTTTATTTTTATGTTTTAAACATATTGTATAAAACTCCCCCACTACTTGGACTATTCCTTGCACCCCTCTAGAATAAGCCCGAATGGTCTCAACCATATTGCATCAGTAACATGCACTTGTTATTATAACAAGATCGCAAGGACACTGGTAGCGATCGGGAAGTTGAGTGTTGTTCAGTTTGTGTGTTGTGGAACATGCGTGTCCGTGCATGAAAATATACCACACACCCAATTACAATTGCATGTTCAATTCACTACCCTGGAAGTTAATACAGTTGTTAAAGTTGGAACAGCCTGTGGACAGCCGTTCTTCCTTGCATGTCAGTCGCCGACACCTTCTTACAGAGGACAGGCACATCTAGCTGCAGCACGACCCGTATATTTCCGCACGCCGTGTT